CAGGAAAAAAGTTGTTTCACACGCGCACGTTTATATGCCCGCAGTGGAAATTTTAAATTGCAAAAATACTCAAGTAAAATGTGAAAAACTCGGGAGCACAACAAAGCACGTCCTACTCGCACAAGAACATTTGTATATTTGTCCCTTCTTTTTATACAATTAAGGAGCGGCTGAATGGTTTAGCGATGTTAGCAGTACATAATGATGTGCCGATTACAACACAAGGAGTAATTGAAAAAATATGTGTTAAACAACGAAGATTAGAAATCGCTTTATAAGTAATAAAATTGTGTAGACTTGTACATAAATAAATGTAAATAGATACGCGTAAATATATAAATATGCAGATATATTCAATGTGCAAAAACTGAAGTGTATACAAAACAAAACTGGAGTACACACTAATTAATTAAAATGGTGTAGTAATTTAATTTTTTAAGTTTAAATAAAGCATAAATTCCCCATGGAATAACCAAGTAGACAAAAAATATATAACGGTAAAAAGGGCACATACATAATAACATATATGAAAGAATGCCCACAGGCAACGCCTCTATCCATTGTGTATCACATCTTTAAGTTATCGATGGAAATTTTTTTAAATTTCTCTAAATAAATGGGCTTAATATTTCTATATATAAGGTGGTCAAGACTGTTCCAAAGATAACTTGGTGTTAAATAACGGGCTTTTGCAAAACGTATAATTTTATTGCGGATTCCGGTAGCATACCTATCTAGATATAATACTTGTACGACAAGTACAATTGCCACGCCCATTTCTAGGGGTTTGTCCCCTTTCAGAAAAATCTTGCCGCACAAATATTATACCTGGATAGGTATTCTACCGGAATCTGCAATAAAATTTAAACTCTTGCAAAAATCCGATGTTTAACACCTTGCTAAATATATCTCATCATGTGTTTTTGAACACAAATTACAAAAAATTGTCGACTCTCACAAAAACAGCATCTCGTCGTAAAAAAAAAAAATATTTTAAAAATACTTCTTCAAAATGCCCAATTTTTTCAAACATGTTTTTTATAGAGAACTAGCCAATGCCCGCTTACTTTGCGGCGCCTAATAAGAACTTTTGCGTTGGCCTATGCAAAAGAGCGTTTAAAAGCAAAAATAGTCTGTAAAGTCAAAATTTTTGGTTTAAGTTAAAACTACTAAGGGGCAGTATCCTCCTTACACATAGGCCAATAATAGTAACGCGGTGATACCATTGGAATACCAATCCCTTTCGGTGTCATGAGGTTTATCGATGGTCTTATTTCCACCTGTGAAATCTCTGCCAAGCATGCGTAATCTTTTTCTATGATCTTGCAACTACAACACTGCTGCAGCGTCATCCATTGTGTCCCTTTTCTGCAAAACCTTTGCTTGGCAAGAAATGAATACGCATTATGAATTCCAATCAGATTTTATAAAAAAGACGGATTTTCTAAATACCTAAACTCCAGCGGTTCCATTTTTAGCAAAGGAATTTTTCATCATACAGGTATAAGTAACTCTACTCCAGCGCCACCAGCGTGTTTTCTAGTAGCCTATAGGAGGACCATATATGCAAGGCATAACCTCCGAAAATTTGACTGGGCTCTATTGAGTGGATTTTGAGTTTAGTCCGCAAAACAGAAATGGCTATCATTTTATGTATGTAATATGTTTCAAATGAAAAAAAAGCATCATGAAAGTAATACTTAAATGTTTCGAATTTGTATTAAAAAAATTGGTTTATAAATAACTCGACTCCAGCACCACCTAGCGGGTCCGTTTTTCGCAAGTGCTTTTTCCATCATGCAGGTAGCTTACGAAATCGGTTCATAAATACAACTTTTATAAATTACCCGCCTCCCGCTCCGTTTTTGGTAAACGTATTTTCCACCATGCTAGAACTATATATTTTGAATTTGAAAGAAATCGGTTCATAAATACGATTTTTATAAATAACTCGACTCCAGCGTCACTTAGCGGGTCCATTTTTCGCATGCGCATCTTCCATCTTGGAGGTAGCACACGAACGAAATCGGTTGATAAATACGACTTTTATAAATAACTCGACACCAGCGCCATCTAGTGAGTTTTCTGATAGCCTATAATGGGCCTTGTATGCAAGGTATAATCTCTGAAAATTTTACTGAAATCTATCAGGAGTTTTTGAGTCAACTCCGAACAACGAAAACGGCTATTATTTTATACATATAGATTAAACAAGGAATACGATGGTATAATTTTAAATCCCTAATTTACTGGTCTTCACTATGCAAATCATCTTCAAAAAGTTGAGCTGTTAATAACTAAGTTAGCTTTAGAAAAATCTTGACCACCTTTTATTTAGAAATGTTAAGTCCGTTTCTTTAGCTTTAAAACAACGTTAAGATGAATTCTCTACGATGCGCAGAACCCGATATATAACGATTTGTAGTACTTCATGATTAGTCAGAATCACGAAAAAATTAAAACTTTGACAGATCATATCTCCGAAAAAAACAAATAAAAAAAATATTCCTCGAACACGCCCTGCAGGGAAACCGCGGACTAGTGAATCAAATTTCTAGTTCCGTACTAGGTAGTTATACCCAAAAAGGAACTAGTACTTTTAAGAAACTAATTTTTTCAGTTTTTTTCACTACAAATCTATATCCAAAGTGACGAATTTAGAAATGGTTCGGAACTATAGAAAAAGGGATGCAGAACGCACTAGATCCTATTTGTCGAATTTAGAACTATTTCGGAACTATCGAATAAGGGATGCAGCGGGGGGCTTGTTTACTTTACATAGATATGTGTTCGGCGGCTTTTTCGTTCAAATACGCTTCTATTCTGTGCTTCGCAGATGCTATTTCATAGTTTGGTAATACAAAACAGAGCTTTGTGTTAACATATTAACATCTTGGGGCCATCTGGAATCTAACCAATAACAGCGAGCACCTCTGCAAAGTCAGCTACAGCAAGGTATGTAAACGTACATTTCTTACAATCATTCAAACAAATTTAATTTCAAATTGAAAAAACGTTTCTTTGAAAATAATGTAAAATCGCACACGGAAGAACCGAAAAGATTGAAAAATCATGATACTTTTTTCTTTCGTCTGTCGATTTTAGAACTGGTTCGGAACTATAGAATTTATGACTAGTTCGGAAAAGGAATGCAGCGGGGGGCAATTGACACTTCCTAGGGCATCGCCATGTTAAATTCGCCAGTTGCTTGCATGCAAAAGAGATTTATCGCGAACCAGTACTGGGTCTAAATGTACCAGAACTAGAGATTTTCCCGACAGGGCGGATTAGCTTATTTCGTGTATAGAACCCATAAAAAAAAATTGAAGCCAATCGGAAGTGTGACACCAAATTTGGTGTCCGATATGAAAAGGAATGTCTCATATCTGAAATTTACCGCTATACGGAAAGCGGGTGTAATTTTAATCTGATTTGAATAATTTTGAAATGGTTTTCTGTACCGAGGTAATTAAGAGCACCCAGTTTAGTAGAAATTAATACATAAATACGTTATCGAGATGCACATTTGTGGTCAAAAGTGGGCGGCGCCACTCCCATTATCCATAAATTTATAATAATTTAGTTTCATGCTAAGTGGTTATCGCAATCATCGATTTTAAGTGAATTAGCTTCAGAGCAGTTGCTGATTTATCGCAGTTTTTGTGTTCCTGTAAATTACCGTTATATGGCAGGTGGGCGTGATTATTTCCCGATTTCAAAGATTTTCAAAAAAGTTCTTAGTTAGATACTAGGCAAGGCTCGTACCGAGTTTGGTAACGATTGGTGAAGCAGCTACTGAGATGAGATTCATAAGTGGGCGCGGCACGCCCTTTTTCCAAAACTTTATATTAGTATAATTTTTTACCACAATTTTTTCAACTATTTGCATCTAATATTTATTGAAATACGGTAGTTCTTGCATTTTTTCGAAAGTACCGTTATATAGGAAGTGGGCGTGGTTATTGCCCGATTTCAAAGATTTTCAACAGATCTTTTAGCCAGACGCTAGCAAGGAATTTGGTAACAATTGGTGAACCGGCTACTAAGATACAGCATTTCATCATAAGTGGGCGGGGTCACGCCCATTTTCCAAAAATTTCATAATGGTATTATTTTTTACCAAAATTCTACTCCACATACTAATTTTCAACGATTTGGATCCAATAGTTCTTGCATTTTTCGAAAGTACCGTTATATGGGGAATGGGCGTGTTTATAGTCTGATTTCGCCCATTTTCAATACCAACACGGACGGACGGACGGACAGACAGACATGGCTTAATCGACTTCTCTATTCATTCTGAGCATTTATGTATACATTTGTCTATATCTATCTCGATTCGTTTTGCCTGTTACAAACAACCGTTATGTGAACAAAGTTAATATATCCTTGTGCACAATTGCGCTCGGATATAATTATATTGCGATATGTACTAAATTTCGAATGAATGAATAGAGAATTCCTATGGCTAGGTGCATACATAGATATGTATGTAATATGTATATTCGAGAAGTACTATGTAAATTTTACAAGCTTTTATTATGTTTCACATGTGTTTAATCAAATCTTGAAATCAATTTTTAACCAACTTTCCGATGAGATAGAGACTTCTAACTTCAAGCCGATGACACTGCAAGTTTTAAAAATGAATTAAGCCGGTAGATGGCGCAGGAGTCGAGATATTTGGAAGACCTGTGCTTACGGTCCAATTTGTTTCAAATTTAGAACGATTATACTTAAATGGAAAAAAGTAACCGCACAACAAATTTAGCCGGTGCGAGGGTAGATTTTTTTTATTAACCACTAATAAAAGCTTGACTTAAAAACAAATTGTTTTAAATTTCCTTTTTTATTTTGTACTTAGCTTTATTTCACAAAAAAAAATGTATTAAAATTTTGCTTTCACCAGGTGATTGTTCGCCCACACTTCCGCGGCTGGCTGGAACCTTCGCATGATGTGAAGACATGGCTGCGCAAAATACGCGCAGTCGACGGAGATGGAGAGGCTAATCTAAAGAATTTCCTTTTGGCAGGATATGTGAGTGAAATATTCTTTTGGCAATCAACAGGAATAATTTTTAATTACTTCATAAATGTAGTTAACAATTAATTTATACTCTTAAAATCTTAATTAAGTTACTTTTACCCACACAGCTTTGGTATGAAACAAATCGTGATATAAATGCCGGCGAAGAAATAACCATCGATGGCCGGCCGCGTACACCAATACACCTCAGCGATGGCTTTGTCAATGGAGCGGATGCGGGCGCGTTATGTGCCACGAGTGGATCACTGCATGGGGATGATAAGAGCGAGCGTGATAATGGTGAGTGGAAAATATAATAATTTCAGTACGCATAGAATTCTAGGGAACTTAGTACACGTAGGAATGAGCGTGAGAAATCTGTTAAAAGTGGAAAACAGTGTGCGATTCGCCAAGCTATTCAATTGAACAACATTTAATATTCGACATTTGTACATTTATCTTGCGTTATGTAAATTAGGGCGGGGCAATTTTTTCGACTATAGGCGTATAGCATAGAAGGATTCTACGTGTAATTCTAACCAGATTTTCCGAAGAAACCATGGGTCTAAAATCAATTTGGAGCTTGCCGATTTGCGAAAATAGGTTTATTTTACTTATAATTTTGCTGTAGTGCCGTAAAGAATATCTTAAATTTTGTATAAAAGCATGCTTTAACACCGTGCGACGGTAAATTGTGCACACAAAAAAATGAATATATTCGCGAAACTATGGGTAACTTATAGTAAAACTGCGTACTTAGTTTTTCTCTCTGGCGCCAGGATCATTATTTAAAAAAATTATTGGACAAATTCAGTTCAATGTAAGATAACAATAAAGGTATCATATAAAAGAAAAAATTCTGTAGAATTATAACAGAATAAATTTTTTGGTGCATAAGGACGAATGGGTACGGAAAATGTCCTTTACAAATTTTTTCCTTAAATATCCTTGAAAATTTGGAATATGTGTTTTCTAATTATTGTTTGAGGACTAATATATGCACGACCTCATCATCGAATTTCCTCCTGCAAACTTTATTAGCTTAAAAAGATAAAATTAAAAGAGCATTTTCAATACACTGATTTTTTTAAATAATGGGTACGTTCAGAAGGCGCAGCAGTTGAGCGCAACCGTTGCTAAAAAAATCGGTGATCGTAATGCGTCTTCTGAACGGTTTGATGCATTCGCTGTCAAATTCAACAACACACATGTTGTCTCACATGATCAGAAAAATATTACGATCATTTAACACGCAAACGTTCAGAAGGTGCAATCGCAACAGTTACTGAGCTGTTGCGCCTTCTGAACGTGCCCGATTTTTTGAATTAATCATATCTTTAAAATTTCAAAGTCCTTTGAAAAAAAAATCCTGACGTCGAAGTGGAAAACTAAAAACCCAGTTTTACTATCTTTGGTCCATAGTTTCGTGAATATATTGATTATTTGGAGTGTTTTAATTTTTTTGTTTTAGTCGCACTGTGTAAGAGGTTTATGGACTTATATTTTTCCTAAAACATCCGCCAAAGGGCACAACTGCATCACAAAAAAAGTTGCGGTTTT